TTGCAAATTATAACCGCCACTTGTCACAATATATTGTATTTGTTATACATTTGCTAGTCACGTTAATTTTCAGTGCGTTCATCGAGACTTGGCTGCTCGGAATATACTACTGAATGACAAACTGGTATGCAAATTATCTGGATTTGGATTGGCAACTGACGTCCTTGATCAACGCGATTATGAGAAAAGAACTCAGGTCAGTATAATTACTACAATCTATGCGAATAAAGAATTATATTGCTGATTCTTGGCAAAACTTAATTGATGATTTGTTGTTGCAATGATAATAAATATATCTCTTTGATATTGTTTCAGGGACGTTTACCAGTTCGCTGGATGGCACCGGAGTCTATATTGGATGGCGTGTATACCAATAAAAGCGATGTATGGTCATATGGTATTGTTTTGTGGGAGATAGCAACACTAGGTAGATATAGTCTATATAACATATAATGAACAAAGTAAAGTATTTTAATATCAAATAATACACGATACACAGTGATTCAACAAAACATGTTATGTAGTTATTATGGTAAGCACCTTATATACATTCATATCTGTTTGATTAGTCTAGTTGTAGTATGTATCACTTGACATTTTAATGAAAATGACATTGAAATTAATCATAATGTTCGCTGATGCTAATTTTAGTTAATTAACTTTGGGTAGTTATTATCATGCAGGTGGCGTACCATATAACGACATGTCAACGCAGGAAGTGATCGAGTCTGTGCAGGACGGATATCGAATGCCAAGACCAGATAAATGTCACCAAGACCTGTGAGTGTGTCAGCCGATGTCGTTATTGAAATAATTTATAAAATAAGACAAATCGAAATATTTTCTAATTTGAATCTAACTGATAAATACGGGCCACAGGTGATTTATGTATTAATTTGAAATTTGTCTTGCACTTGTTACTGTATCTCACTGTATTGTAATGAACTATACAGGTTTTCAGCAATGAAACGTTGTTGGGCAGATAATCCAGAGCGAAGACCTGCGTTTCAGAAGTTGACAAAGATATTGCAAGTCATTTTAGATGGCGATAAGGTATTTTGCAAGATATTCAGACACATTTTATACAATATCTCATATACTCATGTTTACATTCGTCACACACTTATTATTCTATATTAGAGAATGACCTTTTCTTTATTGTTTAATAGATAACAGGTGATGTACATATATATGAAGAACCTCGGATGTGAGCAAAGATTAATATTACATATTGTTAGGAAAATCACGTAAAAGGTTGGATGCTGATACTATTGCAATAAGTAATACTTAAGTTATATAACTTTGCATTGACGAACGATAATAATCACGCTGTTATTTAGTCAACTTTTAAACATTATGCCACTCGTAAGTACATGTTCACAACCACATTACCAATTACCGTAATTTGACGGTACAGTACAGTAAACATGTAAGTGCTTTTAGACCGAAGTCCAAATGAAATACCGATAATAACATGGCCGATATTTATTACCATGTATAAATAGCATGTACACTGATATAAAATATACACCAACTGATAAAGTAGATGGGTTAAGT